CTGCCTCTGCCATGGCAGGACGGCAAAGCAATCGGGGTAGTTTTATTTTATATCCGTAACACAACGTAGGGATCCCGCCCGTGCGCGATCATAATCATTGTGCACTTAATCAAGATTGGCCAATTTTTGACCGTCCCACCCTTTACTAAGCTGTGTCTGTAATGAAGCCAAAACTATGCTGATTAAATTCTCCGTATATGTGAACTTTTACTTCTGGGGGAAGCTCTGACGTAATTTCGTCTGCAATTATGCTCCTTTATAATTGATGAAACGGCTCATAAAAAATTGAAAAATATTACTTATAGAACACCCAAATGATCCTTTAAACCCCGGTGAAACTCCCTACAAAATTGAAAATGATCCATTAAAAATGTCACTATGATCCATATTTAACGTATAATTTAGCAACACAATTACCAGAAACTAACAAAATAGATCCATAGAAAATTAGGTTTGCGCTCTAAAAAATATAGGATTGCTCCATAATCTAAATATATATTTTTCGCGATTTTTTTTTTTTTATTTTGATCTATAACCATTGAAAAAATGCTACATTATTGCGTAAGGCCTGTAATCGAAAAAAAAGTTCCAGACAAAATGTTCGCCAAAAATTTATTTTAAGTCGAAATTTCGTGAAACTTTCAGAGAATGAACTAATACATATGGATTATGTTTCAACATAATTACTTTATTCAATTTCCTCTCCATCGCTGAAAGCCCGCACCTTTTCCTTAAGACCCCTCATTACATTTTGTGTTATGGTGGAGCCGACTTTTTTGGTCACTTTCATCCATTCTTTCTTCAACTCCAGCTCATTCTTTAAAACCTTGGACGATTTTCGAACTTTGGCCTTCATTATGGCCCAAAATCTTTCCAACGGACGAATCTCTGGTGAATTTGGGGGGTTGGCGGTTTTTGGTACAAAAACAACGTTATTGTCTCTGTACCAATCCAACGTCGATCGCGCGTAATGGCATGATGCCAGGTCCAGCCAAAATAATGTCTCGCCTCCGTGGGACTGCAGGAAGGGCAACAGATGTTTCAGGAGGCACTCGGTGAGGTAAATTTCGCTGTTGATGGTACCCATTGTGATGTACGGTTTACTCAGTTTACCGCATTGACATATGGCCTGCCAGAGCAAGTATTTTTTGGCGAATATGTCCACTTTCTTCTTCCTTATGTCTTCCGAAACATCGAACCGTGATTTGGCAACGTAGAACTCCAGCCCCGGTATCTGCTTTGCGTCTGCCTTGATATAGGTTTCGTCATCCATAACCACACACATCGGTTTCGTTAACCACTCTCGATACAGCTTCCTTGCGCGGGATTTGGCCGCCGTGTTTTGTTGATCACGCTGGTTCGGTGCCTTCCGGACCTTGAATACACGAAGCTCAGCTCGTTTGATGGTTTGCTGTGAACGAACCATGCGGAACACTTTGCCTTAAGAGCCGCGTCGCGAATCAAAAGGTTCGGATTACGCTTGAAATAATCCAACACCTTCCGGGCCTTCACAGGGTCACCTGTCTTCGATTTTCTTCCACTTCCAGCCCGCCGCTCGGTCGTCTGGGACACGTTAAACGATTTTACCACCCGAGACACAGTTGTATGGGTGATTCCCAATTGTCTTCCGATCCATCTCATGATCGCAGTCGGATTTTCCATGACGGCGCGCAAAATTCTCCAGCGATTTTATTCTTGTTTCGATAACATCTCAATATCCACTGAACCGATTGTTATGAAATTTTGCACATGTAAACAATTCACTTCAAACTAGTTATACTCAGATTTTCATTAATTTTTACCCACGGATAAAAATAGTGCATTTTTTCGAGTACAAGCCTTAGCTCCTCAGATGTACTGCCCTACTCAAGTTATTTTTAGTCAGATAAGCGGAGCGACGGGCAAGAGTCTAGAATTAGCTTCTAAATGATTCTCATGATTGAGGAAACTTCTTAATAAGATTATTATAGAAGTATCTGAATGAAAAAGTATGTTTGCCAGAATCCTTCTCAAAATTTCTTTACAACTTTTTTTTACCATTACATTTCTTTGAAATTCTGTTCAAAATTTGTATTAACTCAACACTCTCCTGAGAAATCCTCAAAATTATCTACTGATTGCGTTTTTTTTTTCAACTCCTTTTCCTCATTTTTTTTAAATATAACTAGAATAAGATTGCTTTGATATTTTCATCGGAATTTCCTTTGAAGTTATGTTTTCAATCTTACTCAGGTTTTCTTTGCAAATATTCGCAGAAAACACCATTTAAATTCTGCTTTAAGAGGAATTTACGCATTCTCGTGCTTCTATAAGCATTTTCTCAGAGTCACACATACCTATGACGTATTTGTTTGCTTACATTTACCTAGTGCTTGCTCCTCTGTATAAAAAGTATATTTCAAGATGGAGCTGGAATTAGGGCATTACAGCTTTTGTAAACAATGATTTCTTTCGATGATGTCTTGAAAGTCAAGGCTCGCCCACACAAATCTACATCACTATCAGGTAGGAAAAGACTTCCCCTACCCGACGGTAATGTTGGTTAGCGTGGCTTGCCTTGTATTTCTAAAAATCATCGAGAGAAGTCATTGCTTACAAAAGCAGATGCGCCCTTATTCCAGCTCTATCTAGATTTGTATATATTGTGTACATAAGAAAATTCTAAGATAACAAGATTTTCCGATTTCGTTGGAAATGCTATCTAACATGAAGCTTTAGTGTGATCATTTATTAGCTAGAGAATGGTCTTAGAAGAGGGTTAGAGTTCGGTGGTATGAAAATTGAATAGGAGTTGAAAATGAGCGAAGGGTCATTAATGCGACAGTACAAAGCCACTTTTTGGCCTAACCAGCCACTGGCACTGGGTATAGAAATTTTATGTATGAAAACTGAATATTTAATTGCTGTGTGTGTATAAAGGTGATAATGATGTATACACAAAGAAGTCTTCAGTACAATTTGTAAATAAGAGCATTTTAATTATTGTTTACATGATTTATCAAAACATCTAAGCGGCACCAGTGGTGAAGTGGTAAGCGTGATTGCCTCTCACCTCAAAAGGCCTGGGTTCAATCCCAGTCGGCGCCGCCGGGATTTTCTGAGGCACAAAATCTCTGATCACGTCTTCTTTCGGAAGGGAAATAAAGCCGTTGGTCCCCGGTCTATGAGTTGATGGGTCGATAGGTAGGGTCCAGGTGTGGGAGCTGCCTCCCTGCTGGCGTCGGTAGCATTGGTACTCAGTACGGAAATCAAGATCGACGGAAAACAAATCAAAATAGAAATCAATACATCAAGGCCATGATATTTAAATTATAACTTGTAATATTTCTCCTTCGACTACGACTGGAAGTAAAAATGATTTATTTTAAAAGTCTGTGATAAATAATGCGTTGCGTTGATTGAATTCGCCATCAATATCAAATTTGACATAATAGATTCGACAACTTCGACAAGCCCCAATGTGTCCCAGTGTTTATGAACAGCTGCTTACCAAAATTTAGTAACTATTAATTGGAAGGAAGTTGTCCAAATAGATTTATTATTATGAGGATCTCACCGAAGATGCATCCATTCAAAGAACTGCATCCATTCGAAGAAGCTATCCTAATCCCAATTTTTCACACCCTAGGCACACTTTTGCCATAAATGTCACCAACCCGATCCTCGTGGCGTGGCACCGGAAAATCATGAACAAATCCAACGTCCCGCACGAAATTCACATAACCCAGCACGTGAACGCAGGCACCTTGGTACCTATTTCTTTTCAGTTTTTGCTCATTCTCGCCGAAAGCACCCTCCAAGCTATACGATAAGAATTCGTGGAAATTTGACTCCAAACATCGGCCGAGACTCCCGCTTCTGCAAAAGTCCTTGAAACCAAACACCAGCCAGTTTCAACAGCAGCCGTAGGAGGGTGATTCCTGTATATGTGAGAAGTCATCCGCCACACTAATTTGAGTGATTTTTCTTGCCCTGTTGTTCCACTCGTTGTCGTTGTTGTTGGTGTCATGTCTGATAATAGGATTTGTCAACGCGACAACTAGAAACAGCGATGAGGATGACAGTGACGCCAGAGCCCAGCTGTGAATCTCCACGGACGGTGATGCCATAGTGGTGCACACCAGACGGCTCCATAGACGCCCGACCGTCGCTTTTGAGTAGGCGTTGAAGAAGGTCTACTGTGTGCATTGCCGTTGGGTGGCTGGATGGATGATAGTCGCACCAAATTAGTGAATAAATTCGCAAAGTGTGGGTGGGACAGGATGCTTGAGCGTATCGGCGAATTACAATTTCAAATGAGATTCCAAATGTTGATCGTTAGGCTAATGATCCGGGTGTCAATTTCATATAAATGTTGCAGTATAGTTTTTTAAATCGTTGATTCAGGGAATTGTGCATTATCGTTCATTTCCATCGACAAACACGACACACATAAAGGCATGTGTTTGACCAAAATTGGAATGCATCTATATCACTAGAACAGAATTTAATCAATACCAACACAATAGCCAAGCAAACATGCCGAACAAAAATTTGGCATTCCTTGCAGCCGCGCGCTTGTGTGTGTGTATGCCGCATTCCTACATTAATGATTGATCAGCTCTTGTACCAATAAACCATCGGATCGACTCTTTATCGCTAGCTGACCGAAAATGCAATTTGAATAATTAATTGCCATCAAACACAAAACAGCAAGCGCTTCATTAGCACCTTGGCTTCATTTTTGTACTCAACTCTGGTGATGGCGGTGATGTCGATGATGATGATGGTGATGATAATGATGATGGCGAACTTTGGTTTCCATTATGGTGCTATTTCAGGATTCCCAAAATGTGCCAACAAATGAAATTGTTTCTAAAGTGTGCCGATGAAGCGCGCGCGCTCAGAAGTTAATGAAATTAATTAGCCAATATTGTTGCCATCCCGCTTCTTGCTGCTCGTTTGATTTGATGAGAGGATTAAATTATGGTTGCTATCTTGTTTTTTGCTTTTTTTTTCAGAACGGGAAAACTGCACTACCCAACCGATGTGTGTGGACCGCTGTTCGAGGAGGAGCTGGAGTTTTGGGGGCTTGATTCCAACCAGGTGGAACCGTGCTGCTGGATGACATACACGCAGGTGAGTGCATTCAAGACAAAAGTATCGGACATAATAGGTTACAATGAGAGAATGTGGTTTAGTTAATTATCGTAAACATGTACCGTAAAGGCTCAAAATCCAGGCACGAGAAATTTTTTAGAAGATTGTTATCACTGCCTAATAAACTGAAAATAGTAGGTAAATGTTGTAATGGTCTTTGTGTATCCATCAGAACCATCACACATATTAATTATGTTACAAAATAGAGATAATAATTAAAAACAACGGATATCTGGATTAACGGTTCCAGTACGGTAGTTTAAAATGCAGATAATAATTTGAAAAACCAGGGACTTGAAGAATCAGGAAAAGTTGAGGCAACTTCGGTTATTATACTGGAGACATTCGAATTTGATCGTCTGAGCAAGTTCACCGACTTGTTAAGCCGAATTAGCTAAGGCGCTAGTCTTTGAACTACAAAGTTGATTTTGAGAAATTTTAGACACACATTAGACACTCGAAACATTTCTTTTAATCAATATAAAACGGAGACACTGGCAACCTTGAATTATCTATAGCAGCCATCCTATATTTTGTTAAAAAGATTGTTGAAAGATCTGCAGCGACCTACTGATCTAACGTCTCTTCCAAACTAGTCTGACCATGCAAAAGCTGAACTTCCCTAGATTCTCTTGAAGGAAATTTGAGTCTGTCTATAGAGTGTCTTTGAAATGCTTTGAACTTGTCATTGAGATTTTTTAGCATTTGTCCTCTGTATGATTTTCGGGATTCGCTTATGTGGATGTCTGCGATCAAATCAACAACAAAATTTGATGTTGTGATGTGCATGAATTTTATCATTCAGGCTGCTCTCGTTTTGGTCGTTTTAACGGCTAAAATAAAAGCAATTCAGAGCAATAACTATAGCGGCACCGGTGCTGTAGTGATAAGCGTGATAATCTCGCACCCCAGCAGGCCTGGGTTCAATCTCAGTCGGCGCCACCGGGATGTTCTGAGGCATAACATCTCTGATCACGCCTTCCTTCGGGAAGTAAAGCCGTTGATGGGTCGATAGGTAGGGTCCAGGTGTAGGAACTGCCTTTCTGGCGTCGGAAAAAAAAGAAACAATTCCTCAGCATATAAACACTAGTCCTGTCTCAATGAAAGCAACATTAAAACTTATTTAGACACGAGTATAAGCAAAAATCGCAAACTACAGTTTACAACAAAACGAAAACAATAATTTATTACTAATCGTGAACTGAAATCTATATAAATATTTCAAATGGTCCTATCTGCATTGATCGATTCTATTCATCGACTTTCTTACTCGTTAAAAGCTCGGCTGTAAAGCCTTTTCCTGTTGTATTTGACGTTTTAGGCGCTAGATAAGAACCTTCTTTATCAAACTGTGTGTTAAAAATAGCGTGAAATCGGTTTGCTTAGCAATGGTTATCAAAAGAGAAGGTGTACGAAGAGAATCGATAAAAGCATATAGGACCTTTTGAAATGTTCATCAAGAAATCATATTTTGATAAATGAAATTAAAATTAAAATTTAATGTTTGAATTTTGCATTTATTATTATGCTCGACTTTGGTCGGATTGTCCTTCATGACCTCTGGGCTTACATATGATATTATCGAAACAAACCTAGCTTCTGAGCATCATTAGAAGACCTTGCATTTGTTTTATGAATTCTCCAAATGTGCTAACTCATGGATAGGATAGGTCATATATGCCCACTAAATTAGTTCAAAATCCAAATAAGGTTCAGATAATTCTCACAAAATTTTAGTTCATTTGGATGCCAACTCATACTGTACCCACCCTTTGAAGTATATATGAGAATTACTATGGGAAAATTAACTTTGTATTCTCCAAATTCTAGCCCTTCACTGTAGTGATCTAAGGAAAGGCTTACAATCTGTTCTTATGGAATATTTTATCAGCTATAAATTTGCAGAAGTCCACTTTTCGATTAGACTTCAAGGTAATTAGTTATTAATTGATTACGATCCAATAACTTTCAGATAAAATTAATCGATTGCATAATTTTCCGTCGATCTTGTTTTCCGTACTGAGAACCAATGCTACCGACACCAGGAAGGCAGCGGTGTTTGAGGTAGAGTAGGGTAGGGTCGACCCATCAACGCTTGGATCGGGGACCAACAGCTTTACTTCCCTTCCAAAGGAAGGCGTGATCAGAGATTGTATGCCTTAGAAAATCCCGACGGCGCCGAATTGGAGTAAACCCAGGCCTTTTGGGGTGACAGAACCATTATCTATTTACCCACAAATGATTATGGTGAATGGTTAGGACGAGGTAATCAAAACGTTCACTTTTTCCATAGTAATTCCCTTATAAATTTCAAAGGACGGATTTCACGCCAACTCGTCTTCGGAGTTGGCAGCACCCTCTCAGAACCTTATGAAACTTTGTGGGTGTGGTGACTTAGCAATTTTAAGCAACTTTGAGTACTTATTTTTTTCAAAATTTATCTCGCCTAACATTTGATAAGGGTCAAAGTTTTTTGTCGATTTTTTTTTCAAATCGATATAGCTTAAAAATGACAAGCCCTACAAAATAGTGATGTATGGCGAACTTTTAGCAAATAATCTGAAATTTTATAAAAAAATTTAAATAAAATAAAAAATTGGTTTCTACACTCTAAAAAAATATATTTAAAAATTAAAAGTCATTTTCCCAAAAATGGTACCCCTCAGATTTGCTTGATATTTTTTTTCATGAAAGGCAATATAATTACCTAACTTTTCTTCATACATTGCAAAGTGGCCGCTTTTAAGGAAAAAAAGTTGTTCGAACAACAAAAAATGACAAGCCCTACAAAATAGTGATGTATGGCGAACTTTTAGCAAATAATCTGAAATTTTATAAAAAAATTTAAATAAAATAAAAAATTGGTTTCTACACTCTAAAAAAATATATTTAAAAATTAAAAGTCATTTTCCCAAAAATGGTACCCCTCAGATTTGCTTGATATTTTTTTTCATGAAAGGCAATATAATTACCTAACTTTTCTTCATACATTGCAAAGTGGCCGCTTTTAAGGAAAAAAAGTTGTTCGAACAACAACTTTTTCATGTTAATTTTTTTTTAGCGTGTTTCACTCAAAGTCGAATAGTAATACGCGCACAACCTTATTAAAATCCGTTGAAACTTAATGAGCATAAAGATTTTGACCTTTTGATAATCTGGGCGTGCTTAAAACAAAAATCTAGCCTAACATTTGAAAGGGCCTAATACAGAGGATTTTCCTGCATTTCGAATGGTGTTTTAATAAATGAAAACTCTAGTGTTTTTGTTTAGTGCATAATTTATTTTCCTATAATTCTCCATACATAATTTGAGTTTTTCATTGATTATTAGTCTATCGGAAACAGAGTGAAATTTTTCGGAGTTTCCTTTGAATGTGAAAATCGCTTAGTAGAAATTATGTTATAGGTAGAAATAGGTACAAAACAATGAAATTTTTGTGTACCAGGTATAGTTTTTACATGACTGAACAGCTCCTTGAGTTCATCGGACATCTTTGTGTATTGTTCCCTTCCAAAATAATGAATACGGAGAGCATTAAGTCATAACTTTTTGGATTAGCTGCATTATCAAAGTTACCTCCATTATCAAAGACATCCCCGTTTACGGTACATCGAAGCCGCATCTGAATTTTCCCCATGTTTGTGGAGCACGAGCTGCATAAACCGCATATCGTACAGTCGTGAAAATTTGATAGATTGTTCACCGAGGTTGGCCTACCAATCGATCAAATTTGTACGATAAGCGGTTCATCCAGCTCGTGCTCTAAAAAAATGTTGAAAATGAAGTTGTATCTTCGATGTACAATCCTTAAACCACACACTTGAAACAGTTAAAGTTATTATTATTTACCTAGTGTATCATCAAATTCCTGATGTTCTGATTGCTGATGACTTGTTGATGGTTGCGGCTCTTCAAACTTCCGAGCATGGCTTGATTCTTTTCCATCCGATCGCCTCTTTTTCGGGAGAGGTGTCCTATTGTGCACTAAAATTCCACGACACGATTCACAAATACGCATTGTTACATCCAATTGATGATCAAAGCCCCATGAATGTATTTTCTCTATGAGACTTGATGATAAATTACGTAAATTATTGCGGCTGCAATTGGGATTGTTTATGTTGGCACTAGATTGCACCCTTTTAATAATCAATTCAGCAGATTTTTCCATTGTTGTATATATAAACACTTTTTCGTTTCAACAACTATGCAGCACTACACTTTCAACAACTATGCACTACAGCAACTATGAGCATTGTTGTGATATCACCAAACTTAAATATTAGATTATTTCGGTAGAAACAGACTGCGGTGCTTTAAGTTTATACCTTATATCTCTCATGTGACTACCTGCGTTGTTATATAAATGCTATATAGCAGGTAACTTAACGATTATTTTAGGCATGTCTTAAATAATCGTTAAGTTACCTGCGCTATTATATGTATTCACTTGAGAGATGAGGTATAAACATATATGCATATTGCTTACTAATGGACACACCTAATACATAAAAATAAATGAATGATTATTTTTCTAATTAAATTAATCACAAATACATGAATTGAAATCTTTTCATGAATAAAACATACTAAGTGATTTTTACTTAGTTTACCTGTTGATTTGGAACAATTTGAGGGTGGTTTTATAGAAGTTGGATAGAGTGTATGCATATATTATAATACAATCCATCACAGGAAAGTGCAAACCATGCTGAGATGGCTGTTCCTCATTAGAACGTTTTGTTCTGAACTCTTATTGGACGATTTGCAGGTAACTTCTCTGTACCCTTTTCAAATGTTAGGCTAGATTTCGCCCAGATTATCGAAAAGTATACCCATAAAGTTTAATCGAATTTTAATAAGGTTGTGCGCGTATTACTATTCGACTTTGAGTGAAACACGCTAAAAAAAAATTAACATGAGAAAAAATATCAAGCAAATCTGAGGGGTACCATTTTTGGGAAAATGACTTTTAATTT